TTTGTTTCAGTATGTTTTTTGAAACAATTGTTTGCTCATAAGCTTCTTTTTTTTCTATTTTTTCCAGCAGTAATGACCAAAGGGGAAAGAGACAATTTCCTCCATCAGGGGGACCACCTCCAGGCCCACCTCCAAATATTGGACCAATGGCACCATTTCTCTCACCAGATGGTGGTTTCCCTTCACAATCACATCCTCCAAGAGGTCCCCCTTCAGGTAAGACCCAGTTTGTGTCTTTCATTCATGTTGTTGGTGCCTGTTCGAACTTTGGGCTTACAAGTTCAGTTGTCTCCCATGGCAGTGCCATCATTATTAGGAGTCATTGTTATTGCATCCTTTGAATATTGTTGATATCACAGCGATAAAAATGGTACTGTGACTACTTTTGTTTCTTTTTGCTTAAAGTTCATGTACTAATGATATTTAGTGTGCATATTGTCACATTTAGTTGTGAAATATACCAGTTAGCAATAGTTCACACTAAACGTCTCTACTGTGAATAATAGGTACCATGTCATGTAACAATACAAAGTATTGATCATGTTTATTGTAATAGCATAAACTCAGGTTAATTAATTATTAGATTGCAAATTAACTGCCATGCTAGAACATAAAATGAGAACACTCAAGTTTATCTCAGTTCTACTGATGTCCCAAGAGCCCCTCACCAAATTTGGCATGCAGTACATAAGTGCTTTGGGACGATTCTTATTTCTGACTTGCATACAGATTCTTGTTTTTTTTTGATGATGTTTCAGTAAAATAAAATATTATATGAATGTATAAATGGTAAAACCCAGGTTACTGAAGAATCAATCAAGAGACTTTTGTCCCTTGCTATTAATATTAATAAGTATTTCAATTGGTGTCAGTCATCGCCTGTGCCATAAGAAGGTGTCTACAATGGACACAAGTTTGTTTCGTGGTAACCTGGCTTTTGACATTTATACACTCACATAATACACCATAAACAAACAAGAGACTATATGCAAGTCTACATCCTATACATGAGACTATATGCTAGCCTTTTCACATTTAATGCTATGTGCATTTTTAGCAGTTGTGAGAATT